AGTCGATTACAAATTTACAAACAATAGATGTAAAAAATAATTTGAATTATCAATAACAAAATGTCATACTCCAGTGTCGATAAATAAGTTTTCAACAAAGTGAATAGCGGCGAAATGTGACATCATATTTGACAATGAAATGACGGATTGGTGGAATAGTAGGATTACTGTTTATATATTGGAATCATGGTTTAATCGTTTGTGTCTCCCCCCTAGTATGAACGCACTCACATAAAAAATATGCAAATTGTGACGTCATGTAATCTGGCGGTGTAATCTCGTTTTTCTCATTAAAATTACAATTATAAAACGTATTTTGTAAAGTGTGAATTACTCGAGCGCGTTATATAGTCGTAACGTGTAATTTTAATTGTAGATTCTTAATTTGCCGGGCTCTGCTTAAGTCAAAGGTTAACCTACATTTCTGATTTCAATTCAGAAAATGGAAAAATGCAAATTTAAGAAATATTGGATTGTGAGTAATTTTGAGGCACATCTCAGAAAACATTTCCAACGTGATTTTGAAACTGTTGACGTGGATATAGAACAAGAAACAGATCGAAACGCAGCTGAAACAAGTCAAATCATATCGTTTGCTTGGAGTATTGGATGAGATTTTGGACGCATAAAATCATGTATAGCAATTTCTTAGAAAAAAAAAATAAGCGTATACACAGTTCATGTCAATTAAAGTGTGACAATATTGTGTCGTACATTCACAGTTTGGCGCCAAAGTGACGCGATTTTGTTAATCAAATAAACACATTATTCGTTTATATTTATTATTCGTTTTCAAACAAACGTTCGCTTACATTGCAATATGTATTTTCTCGCGTATTTGAATGCGCTACAACGAAACGTTGTTTTACCTGCAACTTGGATTCACAACGTAAATGATCACTTCGAAAATTTCGTGAATAACAGCATAAACAGCAATCAGTGGTTTTTGTGTTACTACACAAACAGCGATGTCGCCTTCATTGATGATCGTCCGAACGAAGAATTTGCATCGAATTTCCGTTTACCTATGGTTCAACTAGGAAATATCGATGAGCCATTTGCTGGCTGCTTTTTGTCAAAATTGAAGAAATTTAAAAGTAAGTACATCCGAGCATGTGAATTATTTCATGTGAATTGTTTCAATAAATTGTCAATTTTCTCGATTTAGAACGTTATGACGACGCGGTTACATTCCTGATACGTTTGCATAGCATTGAACCAGCTATCTACAATGAACGCCGATTAGTGGAACTACCTCTCCCACAAATTGACAATTTGCCTGAACCAAATGATTTATTTGCCGATGTTCGTGAAAACAACGTCACGGATACAGAAGATGGTAATCAATCTGAAGAATTCAACAACAGCGACGGAAGTCAGAATGCTTTGGATGCAGTTGCAAATGTTACTGAAGAATTCAACAACGGGGACGTTAGCCAAAATGCTTTGAATTCGGTTTCAAATGTTGCTCAAAATGAATCTGACGATGAATACTTTGAACCTTTTATGGATGCCAATGATGGTGAAGAACATCAGGAAAATGATGGTTCTCAAGTTCAGGAATCTGATCCATTGGCTACTGTCTTCGTAAAATCTGAACGAAATGTTGCACCTTTAATTAACATTCATCTTGCGAACAGTGCCGAGATTGAAGAACTACTCGATGAACCAGACGAAGTAGTATATGAAGATATGGTAATGGTAATTGGTAGTGCTGGCATGTTAAAACCATTGTTAACTACTGTAGATGAGCTCATAAAGCGACAAGGTGACAAAATGACTGGTAATATTGCTTTCAATGAAAGGGTTAGTGAACTTATTCTTCAATGGATGTGAGTAGGGGTGTGGGATCAGACATGGTTTCTCCTATCTTCCTCATAGAATGTGCTGATGTATTGGCTGAGCCACTAAGCATGATTTTCACTCTAAGCATTCGTAATGGCGTTTATCCCGATAGCTTTAAAGTTGGTAGAATGACTCCAATTTTTAAAAATGGTAAGCGTAGCGATGTGGAAACATACAGAGGTGTTACTGTTTTACCCGGGCTTGCTAAAGTTTTTGAACGAGTTGTTTACATTCAGTTGAAACTGATCATGTCATCGAAAATATCCAGCACGCAACATGAATTCGTTTCTAGCCGAAATATCTAAACGAATTTAATGGAAATGACAAATTTAGCGCACACTGCATTTGAACAGAAATCTCAAAAAATTATTACTTTCGTTTATCTAATTCAGTTTTGTTATGGATGATCTCCTACTCCGCCTCGAGGCATCAATATGTAAGAGTTGGTAATGCTGATATAGCGTAAGTTAACCACATACAATCATAAGAGTTAACCACAACACATTGTACTCATATATATATAAGAGCCAAACTGAATAAAGATCATTCTTATGAATACCTCACACCGAACAACATCTCTTCGTGTATTATTCATATTTATAGTTATTCATATATGACAGCCTGATAGTAAAACCAACACTTAATTTTCTTATGCGTAAAAATAGCATGTATTTTTGTTTGGAGTAAAACAATACCACATATCATAATCGAGAGCAAAAATTCAACACACAAAGTTGAGAGCAAAACCACGACATACGCAAAATCAGAGCAAAAGTGAATAAGCGATATGTCGTGTTTTTGCTCTCAAGTTTGTCTATAGTTCTTTTGCCCGCAACAATCGGAGTTTTGTATTTAAGCCGAAAAAACGGATTTTTTTATGAGCGAGGCGGACCATATATCTACGATCATGTAGATGATAAAAAATCGCGAAAAATGAAAAAAATAATTAATTTTTTTTTCTTCGATGCTCAAATACTACTCAATTTTCTGTATCACCTGGTGGAATCAGAATGAAAAAAATCGCATTCCATATCATCCAAATCACGATCTGGACTTCTTTCACTGTTTGAGTGCTCTATACCGAGTCTCCGAGTGTTTCATATAAACTCGCTATGTGATGCCTATTGAATAGTAAGCGAATACCAATCGTGATTGAATCAATAGGCGTCATTTGGCTATTGCAAGGCGAGTTTATATGAAACTCTCGGAGACTCGGTATAGAGCACAAAAAGTGAAAAAAAATTATTTTTTTTTCTCATTTCTCGAATACCACTAAATGGTCTATATCATGTGGTGTGATCAGAACGTAAAAATTTGTCATCTCTGTCACCCAAATCGTTGTCTCAATGCTATCTCGCTCCCCCTTGCATGTATAAATGTTTACAACGGACATTCTATTCACACACATCTCGCACTTATATTTTGCTGCGCAATAAAATTATTAACAATGTATTTGGTCATCGCTTTGAGTTTTGTGTCGATGACTTTTATTGCGCAGCAAAATACAAATGTGAGTTGTGTGTGAATATAGAATGTCCATTGTAAACATTTATAGATGCAAGGGTGAGCGTGATAGCATGAGACAACGACTTGTCATTTGCCAAGCACGATTTGGGTGAAAGAGATAGCAAATTTTTCACAGCAAATGATATAGAGCATTTAGTGGTGTTCGAGAATTGAGAAAAAAAATGTTTTTTTCTTTCACTTTTTGTGCTCTATAACGAGTCTCCGAGAGTTTCATATAATCTCGCCTTGCAATAGCCAAATGACGCCTATTGATTCAATCACGATTGGTATTCGCTTACTATTCAATAGGCATCACATAGCAAGTTTATATGAAACTCTCGGAGACCGGTATAGAGCACTCAAACAATGAAAAAAGTCCAGATCGTGATTTAGATGATATGGAATGCGATTTTTTTCATTCTGATTTCACCAGGTGATACAGAAAATTGGGTAGTATTTGTAATAAAAATAAAACGTGGATACGTGTAGTAAATACATCGAATAAAATAGAAAAAATAAACACGGTCTTGAATAAAACTGACAAAATAAATGATTACTACATATATAAAGCAACATCAAATGAATCAGGTTTACATAAAAATTCAAATGAACGAAATACTGAATTAAAAAAAATATTGATACATAATATTCCGACACACATTGCTAAAAAATTAATACCATTATGTCAAGAATTTTCCGAAATATTTCATTTACCGGGGGATAAACAAACATTAAACAATTTCTATACACAATCACTAAACATAAGGGACAACAATGGTGTATACGTTAAAAATTACAGACTACCGCAAACACAAAAAACCGAAATAAACAAGCAAGTAACAGAATTATTGAAAAACGATTTAATTGAACTAAGCAAATCAAACTATAACAGTCCATTGATTTTGGTTCCAAAAAAGACGAATACAAACGAAAAGAAGTGGAGAATGTGCATTGACTATCGACTATTAAATAAAAAATTGATACCAGACAAATTCCCACTTGCACGCATCGACGAAATACATGACAATCTGGGCAATGCCAAATATTTCTCTATAATGGATCTGAATGCGGGATACCACCAAATCCCACTTGACGAAAAATCACGTCCGTATACAGCATTCAGTACGGACAATAATTTCTACCAATGGAAAGTACTTCCATTCGGTATAAACGTGGCACCATCATCATTTCATATAACTTATGCGCTCTATACATTTACATTGCGACGTCACGAATTTGGCACACTGCTTCCTCTGACGGCTGTCGTGTGAAATATAGATTCGTGCAACATAAAGAACTTTTAGTTTAGCATCGATCTGTTGTTTTATTTTTTTATTGGATTTTGTTTTATTTAATATTTTATAATTATTCTTTTATATGGATAATAAATATTTTTTTATGTAATAATAATAATTATAAAATATAGAATATAATAAAATACAATAAAAAATAAAACGTAACAAGTTATACTCATACTCATGAAAAGAATTTAATGCTTTGTATTTTAAGTTCCTTTCGGTGGAGTCACCCAAACCCACCAAATGTGTCTTGCACTTGTTGTTGTGTCATAACTGTCATTGTGTCGACCGGTGTCGAACAAAAAAAAATTAAGCGTCAAATATAAACCGATATAAACAAAACTTAAAATCATGAGCCGCAAATACACAGTGGAAAAGATATTAAAAAAACGTGTCGATAAAGGCCAAAAGGTAAGTATTTATTATTCAAACTAAAACGTGATTATTTTAAAAAGTGTAATTTGAAAATTGATTTGTTTGAAAAGTGATTGCGTAAAAGTGAAAATATTTAATTTTAACTTGATGAAACATGTATTTACGTGTAACACAAATCAAAATTCTAACCACAAAATCTGAATTTATTGAAAGGTTTTTTACTTCCTTAAATGGGCTGGCTATACTCGTCCATCTTGGGTTCCAGCTGAGAATATGTTTTGCGACGATTTTTTGCGTGAATTTGAAAGACCGATTATAAAAGGTACTTCTGTTATAATTGCTTCTATTCACATTTGACATACACTATATTTCAATTTAATTTCTTTGGTATTATAGATGCCAAGCGACAAGGAAATCAAATTTTTTATTTGGTTGACATTGAAGGAAAAGAGGGAGAAAAATTTGCAAGTGACGATTTGGAAGATCATATCAAAATCGAATGGTTGGAAACTAAAATCGAATGGGTGCAAAATGATGAGCCTGATAACAATCATGACGACGATGAATATGAAATTCGCATTTGTATTGGAAATGCAGAGCAAATTCTCTGTAAGTTCATAGTTCTTTGTGATGTTTTTTATTTCAAAAGTACATACGAACAATCATATATATATAATACTATAAAATTTATTTCAGACGTCACAAATGCTAATGGTTCACTCCAGTATTGGATTCGTTTTGCAAATGGAAATTGCAAATTCGTATCAGCTGCCGAATGCCGCGTCAAATTTCCCGAACTTGTACTACAGTACTTAGAAGAAAACCTAGTTTGAATTGACAATCTTCTTTCGAATTGATTTACGATGAACTGTTCAATAAAATTCCGAGCAATCTTAATAAAGAATATTTTGATTTATTGAAATTGTTTCAATTCAGTAGTTTAATGCATACATAAATGAACCTCTTATTAATTAGATATTGCATAACAAATATTTTCAAAATTCAATCCGAAAAAATTCCTAAATCTAAATTTTAATGATTGTATGTTTTGAACACAGTGCTGAAATCCAAGTAGAAAAAAAGGAAAAAGGTAATTCATTGCCCATAAAAGTGTAATAATTTGTGATATGCCGACCGCATTTGTTTTGTGTGAATTTTGAACGTTGCCATTTTTGAAATATATGTTCCTTTAATTTTAATGTATTCCTCAACCACAAAACGAATGAGGTATATTTTGTGGTCACAATGATTTGTAAAATCAGTTTGGCAATATAACTCTTCTACATTCAGTCCATCCAAAATTTCGTGGTAAACGACATTAAAATTTATCGTTCCTCGCAGTAATTGAATTTTTATAAAACGCTCCGCTTGTTTACATATGCTAAATGTACTTTGGCAGGGTTTTTGTTTGTGAGTTGAGCTAAGAAAAACACTCTGAACCTTTTGTGTATTTTCAGAAAAAATTAATTTACATGGATTACACTTGAACTGAGGTGCCATAATTATTCTCCTCTCAATTATATTGGCAATTTGAGCTATTGTGAGATCGCTTAAATCATCAACTAAATGCTTTGTACGCTCAAACTCTTCGATTTTTGCCAATTTTTCATAAAGTTGTTCAATTTCTTCTTCCGAAATATTGTGCCAGTCAGTGCGAGATCTGAAGCCTGTTACGGTCGAACGGCGTGATGTAACGTGTAGTAAATTCGAATATGGGTTGATAATTGAGTCTGGATTTAAAATGCGACAGTTTGAATGTTTGGAGTAAATTACAGTTGAATTGGCCATAAGTTTTCGTAAAATTGGAGAAAATTGATAGCTACTGGGATTATCATTGAAACCTAAAAAATTTAAATAAACAAATGAAGTGTTATAATTGCTCGTACAATAATCTTAATAAACATACCTAAAACACTTCGTGTTTTTCCAAATAAAATTTCGAGGTGATCTTGACTTAATGCATATGTTGGGACAGTCGACAATAATTGTAGGTTCTCAATATATTCTTGGTATATTGCTTCCATGGAGGCCATGTCGATGATGAATCCAATAAAACCCGTATTATTTACAGAACGGCAAACGTCTTTCATCATACCGTTAGCATCAACCAATTTCAATTGTTTAATATAATTTGTGGCGTATTCAAAAAATTCAAAAAATTCAGCACGGTTTTCCTTGTCCAAAGCCCGTTTGAACACGTTTGAGTTCTCTTTGTCTTTGGTGTTGAATATATCAAATAATCGATCAAATACTCGAATGAATTTTATGGTTGGTGCAGCATGTTCAAACTCTGGATATCCATTTTCCATTAGATATTGCATCGATTCAGCTGTTGAGTTACTTAATGTTTCAACGGCAATATCAACTTTCATGATCTTTTGCCACCAATTTATGTGTTGCTGTGTCATTTTATGTGTTAAGGAAAAACCACGCTCAGTACTAAACCGAACGAGTTCGATGAAATATTCCCATTTAATTTCACCACCTTCTGAGTCAATGAGAAGACCTTTTGTTGCGATAGTTCCTCTAATAAGTTTTTCCATATGACAACTATCGAAAATAATTTGAACTTTGTGATCGGCGATTTTAAAACTGGGATCAAATGTGGGAGAATATACGTTCAAATTGGCGCCGAGTGACCTACACATTGTTTTGTTTGCAGAAAAACCATCAAAAGTCACATTTACAACGGTCACACCAACATTAAGAAGAGCTTCAATAATTTTTGATATCATCAATGTCTTTTGTTCTCCAGTTAGTGTACGAATAAATGCATAGGCCAGCGGTAGCTGAAATGAATCATTAATTGAACTTGCCATATATACTAGTACTTGATTTGCAACTTTTCGTTCATCAACGGAGTCTACATTCAAATCGATTAAATTGCCACCATCCTCATAGCCAATGAATTTTTTTGTTTTGCTGTCAAATGTAATGGCTCTACGTATATTCATTTCGTCGAACAAGATTGCCACAGCAAGGCATTTGCCTTCAATGGCTTTTTCTTGAACCTTCTTTCTCAATATTTCAATTGAATGTTCTATTAACCCAGGTGAACAATTCAAATCTGAGTTGGCGTGCCAAGCAATTATTGTACCAGGATGAGGTAAATGCTTGTCGAACGTATTTCGAATTAAACTGTATGCTGCCGGACTTCGTGAATGCATCGCAATACAAAACTGTCGCACTTTTTCGGGGTATTTTTGACCAGATTTGACACCACTAAGTAAACATTTAATTATTTCTTGTTGCTGTGTTAACTAGAAGCAATGAAATAAATATATGAAAAATTGGTCGGTTGAAAGAAACGTTGGACATTTTTGCATTAACAAATATATTACTTCTGATTCTCCATCGGTTAAGTTGATATTTTCTGTTTCATGGTTCGCTTTAGATTTCAATTCTTTAACTTCAATTTTCAGAGCCTTTATAGTTGCTGCATTATTACAGGTTGTTTCCTTTAAGCGTGCATTTTCCATTTCAAGTAGACTTATTTTTTCAATTAACTTTCCATTTTTCACTGAAAATCCACATTTGAGCAAAGTGATTTGCTGTTGCAGCCCCGAGACTTCAGCTTTGAAGGAGTCACATCGATCACAATCATTTTGAGAAATAGCCGCTGCATTTGTGACTTTAATGGTATATTCAGTATTATCGGTCGACTCATGGTTACCAATTAATTCCACAACTAATTCGTTAGTTTCATTATTGAACACTGTTGGAAATATATTTTTTTTCAAATAGTATTTCAAACCATCTTTTGAAATTGTGTAATCATCGTCTCTGAAGTGCAATATGCAAATGAATGAACTATTGCTACAATCTTGGTTCTTTAGTGCAGTATCCCAAATTTTTTCACTGCCTTTTGGAGTTCTAAATTCGTTAAAATAATTGAAATATACAATTTATCTAGAATAAATGACACCGAAATTAAACAGAATTTACCTAAACATATGAACATTTTCTCCATTGACGCCTTTGAAATATTTGCAAGTTTTAATTTTACAGTACTTCATGATGAAACTTTTTGTCAATAATCGCAACGTTGAAAAACGACCGTTCATGTTCAATTAATAATGAGAACTGAAGAAGAAGCATAGCATACTTTACCAATTTATGGCGCCAAATCGCATGTCTAACGATTACGCGTCAAATAGCTGTTCACACCACACAATTGAGATAGGTCAAGATCAACAACAACACAAATATTTATTTAATCTCGATTTATTTGTTATTGCTATGATAATCATTTCCAAAATGTATACTATATCAAATATTTACTTAATCAGAATTAATCAGAACGAGATTTACAAAGAACAAAATGAATCAAATGAATAAGTATTGTAAGGCATTGTGAGAAAACACATGGGCACTATTGCTCTTCTAAATCTTCCTCGATGTGCTCGTCCAAGTGCTCGTTGTACTTCATTTTGCCAAAATCGGCCGAACCATCAAAATATCCAGCAAATAAATTCTTGTCGTCGAAATCGTTTTGAACCACGTTCATCATTTCATCAGATTCGTGACCACCATTTGCACTTTGTGCGATCTTTTTTTGCTCTTGAGCTCTATCAGCTTTTGCGATTGTTTGAAGTATGAATGTTGCTGTCATGGAACGTCGACGATACACCTTTGCAGGTCGATTCAATTTCATTGGTGGTTCGTCAATTTTATGTACATGAGATTGACGCAATGGAATCAAATCGGGAATCTTTCGAACACGGAGATCCAATGGTGCTTTATCGTTCAACACAGTTTGAATCGGCGCCAATGGTGTCCGAAGCGAATATTCATCAGGAATATCCATATCCAAGATTGCATTGTGATGGTTTTTACTTGAATCGGGTGCATTTGATGTGGTTGGAACCGGTGCCAAGGGTATTCCAAGCGAATTTTCGGCTGGAATATCCATATCCATGATTGCGTGTTGATGGTTCTTACGTGAATCGGATGCAGTTGGTATCGGCAAATTCTCGATCAACATTCCATTACGAGTACCATCGTTTTCATTGTTTGTTTCCAAATCGCTTTCCGATGAACCATCATAAACCAGTGTTGATAATTCGTGAACAACTGGTATCGGGTCGATATACACGGATTTGCGTCGAAGAAAAGGTGTACTGTTTACCTTTTTGAAAATTGATTTTGGACCAGAATACGATTTCCGACGTAAATCGATTTGCTTTGGCTTGTTTTTTGCTAATGCGTCCAATATCGGGTTAGCAAAAATACGAACACGTGCTTTTCCCGAGCCGGTGCGATTTGCCTGTTTTTTCTGCATAACTGAGACATGAAAAAAATGGTTTGTTTAAAACACTCGATTTGTTATAGCATTCCAATAAGAAAGTGACCTATGATTTTTATTTGTCGATTGGATTTTATCAATATATGAACAAATCAGTTTAAATTAAAAAGTACATACCAACTCGTTGTGTTGACACAGATTGTTTATTTTGCTTTTTGCCGCGACGATTCTGAACCAAAGAATTATTATTTTTGGTGTCAGTTCCACTACGAGTACGAACCATATTGAATGATTCTCACTGTATCTTTATTTTCGTTTGTTTATTGAAAATTTATTGGAGTATCTAAATGTTCAATACAAGAATCAACGCTGTTCCAAATTGTTCAGAACAATCGCTTTGGATATATGTAATACGAAGTCAATACGGTCAATCGGCTACTAGATTGAAATGTCATTTCAAATTTAAAAGTATAGCAAGGCCGAAGCTGCTCCAATTCACACAATGCAATCATATTTACAATTGTATGGTTTTTGATGGAGCCGGTTCGCTTCGATACGCATCAAGCGCATGCGATAGTTATTTATTAT